CCCCTTCCTTCACTGCTCTCACACAGCTGTGTATATTTCCAACACCAGTCTGCTTCTACTGGTTCTCACGGTCTCTTCATATGCGGATTTCTTATATTTTTCCTTCTACCCTGAAGATGGAGGCGATATGTTCCTCCAAAACCCCGGTTAACAGCACATATACATGGTGACAAATTCCAGAAAACTGCTTTCTTCATAGTCACCGCCGAGAAAACCTCAAATCTGACAGGAAATAAATCATTCCAAATGTGTTAGAATTCACATATTTTGGAATGCTAGTAACTCATCAAAATTTTATTCATGGAGGAGTTAAGGTCACATTAAATTAAGGAATTGCTTGCTACCATTCAGTTAAGAATCTTCTGTCTAGCCATCTGCTATCTAAATATGTAAAGATTAAAATATCCAAACTGAAATTTTACCTGCACTCTCATGTGTGGATGTGTAACTTTTTTCTCATACTGAAAACAAAACATATCGAGAGATGTGTGAGAACATGGTATTGAGGAAAATATTGTGATCTAAAAGAGAAGTGGTAGGTAACTGAAGGAAACTGCGTAACGAGGAACTTTATAATTTGTAATCTTTGTTCACCGTTATTAGGATAATAAAATCAAGGGGGATGAAATGGATGGAACATGGATGAGAGAGATCAGAAATGTGTACAGATTTTTGTTTAAGAATCTGAAGGGAACCGATCTCTTGGAATATCTAACCATAAATGAGAGGATAATATTGAAATGGAGCTTACAGATACAGAGTGGAAGGATGTGGACTGAACACGTTTTGCTCAGAATAGGGACCAATGGTGGAGTTGGTCAGCTGTTAGCTTTTGAAGAAGGGCAATGTTCCATGGTGGTAGATAGAATTTTATTATCCCCCCCAGAGGATTTCTCATCAAAGAGAGAAACTGAGGTGGAGGATTATGATGGGAATATTTGGACTTAGAGAAATGGAGAAAATTATGTTGTAGGGGAATTCACAATTAGTATTCTTCACCTAGTGTCATTTGGGTGATTACATGGTTGAGAGTTGATATGGCTGAACATGTAGAAGGGATAAGTGAAATAAGAGATGCATGAAATACAAGTATATCACTGGGAAACATGGAGAGAGTCTACTTGGGATGGTAGTAGCATATTTTAGAGTAATATTAAATTATATTTTAGGGGGGAATAGGGTGTTGGATACATTGAAACTTAAATTTCCAGTATGATGGAGTGACTATGTTGTAGACAGGAAATAAAGATATAAAGTTGCATTGGTCAGATGGTTTCACAGGACATACAAGAGTGCAACAAAGCTACTGAGCAACCCAGCACGTGGCATCATTGATGGAGAGTTGGTTTGGCTGTTCCTGGGACTCCCAACATCTGAGAAACAAGAAGTGGCCAAGAAGATAGGCACAAAAGTGGATGAGATTGCAGATGACCTTGCAGATATTGAGCGACTCACTGCACATTTCTAGAATTGCTAGGTATGTGAGGTTTACAGATAAACTTACTATCATGATCTCTGGTATTCTGCCTGTCACTCTGAGGAGAGCAAAGCACCAGTCTGCTGATCTGGAGGTATGTGAAGAAACACTCCAGCAGTCCCACTTGCTGGTGCAGATCACTAGAGTTCATTTCAGGGGCTCATGTTACAAGTGAAATATTGGAAATAGAATTTTGAGAGGAACATATACTTGAATATTAATTGGGTACCCTGCTTTTGGAATGGAAGTGACTTAACTGTGTGTCTTAATTAACTTTAAGCGATATGCTGCAGATATGAAAAGCAAGGTGCTTACAAACGCTGCCTTGAACAGTTAATAGTTGTCTGGTAATAACAGACTTCCTGTTATGGGACCAGAAGATTCATCATCATGTTCACAAAACGCCACCACTGGACCCTTGCATGAGGCAGTTCAGCACTTCACATTTTCATGATTTATTACTTGAAGGTTCCTTTGAGGCTGCTAGTCTCTGCTGTTTTATTTTGGCCAAAACCTCCAGTTGTGGTCTGATTACATTCCTGGCCTCTTCCCCTCCATTAAAGGAGTCTATTTCAGAAATGGAGTGCATATGAGGTATATTCAACTGCTCAGACAGCCATCATCCTACAGTTGGCAATAGCTGAGTTTTGTCTTGTCTTGTAGGCACTCCTACCTCCTGATTCTTCCCATTGTGTGATCGAAGTATCAGAATTAATTTTAAACACAAAGACATGAATTAATTTTAAGCACATAATGACTTATGTGACTGTAACAACTTTGAGTTTTGTAAAGCCATATTCAAACTAGAATGCTCCTGAACATCGTTCTTATAAGCGCGTTGCCATTCATCTCACCTAATCAGATTTTGATGTTATGAAATTTACTGCAAATCTGACAGTAATCTTTCAAATTCATAAACATCCTGGCTTCTGAAGGCAGGTCCTGTTGCATTCGAGATTGTCAGTGAGAAGCTGCTTCTCTAAGTTTGGATATTTTTTTGTTTTTCCCTAGATAACGTTTCTCTTATACGCTTTCCTAGTCAGTTGCAAAAGTGTCAAGCCACAACAAACAGTTATAAATTTGTGCTGCTTTATTTTTCTGTAGAAGACAATGCAAGTCTGTGGAGAATGACTGAAATTTAGGCTTCTCATTGCACTGGGTCATGCCCAAACAGCATTCAGACTTCAGGGCTGATATGGATTGCATCATGACTGGCCTCCAGAACCCAACCAAAACAGTGTTCTTGTAATAAAATAAATATATTTTGTACAGCTTGTGGCTTTATTATGTGGGCCCATTCTTCTGACATTTCTTTCTCAGTGGAAAAAATGCCTGGGCTTATGTGAACAGGACCACTGCCTCATTTGTTTTCCTTAGTCCCTCCTATCCACAACAAGTCTGATGAGGATTAATGATGAAAGGATGAAAGTTAGGGAGCCCAAAAATATAGTTTTCATTGAACTGTGTACACAGTGATAACCAGAATAGCAGAATGTTTTGTACAACAAAAATATTACCACATGATAGGATGTCTATAGACAGGGTTTGGATTGATAATTGGATTTATTGAACACTTACAGAATGTAACTACAAGTAACTGTGACAATCTCACTGGTTACACACTTAAAAGGTCATTGTAACTGCAGCACACAAAGTCTTCCCAGTCTTCACTAGCTGTTGCTTGCTAGCGGCTTACAATGGCAGACATTCCCCTGTCTCTGGGCTCCCAAACTTTTCCCAGCTTCTCACTTCTCACAACTGCAACTCTCAACTGTCCTCGTTATATAGCCCTGGCATGGGCTGCACAGAAAACATCTCTTCCATTATTGCATGTTCTCTTGTTGCTAGGGAAATGTGTCCACAAAGCTGTTCCCTAGTGACAGCTATTGTACTGTTGCCTTTCTACACAGCTGTTACTTGGCAATGGGTCTACATGCCACAGTATAGTTCAGCCTCCCACAGTTGATAATGTGCATATATGCAGATATATCCCAAACCATAACTTTGGATAATGAAAATACCCATTTTGTGTGATTGAAACTTCTTGTCTGGTAGTAAGATTTTGTAAAAAAATAAATTCATGCATAATGTAGGGAATGCACTCTCATTGTTCTAGCTCAGGCTTAATTTTTATGCTGCCTTCTGTGAGCTCTGCAGTGATTCCAGTTCAAACGGAAGTGTGGCTAGACCAGTGCACAAGTGAAAGAATGATTGTATGAAGATACATTATGATGCCATCGTTGTTTGATTGAATATCATTGATATTTGTGGTGGTCATTCACAGTAAGATCCAAGCAACCCATTGGTTTAATGCTCTGCAGAGTCGAGTTATAGTCAAAAGTGTTTGTGATAGGAAAAGTCATAAGCCATTTTGCTTGGAGGAAAAATTGAAATTTTTGGAGATATATTAGAAAGAAATATGAAGTCATTGTATTATGGCAACATTTATCACAGGTAACCGAAAGACTGAGAAGAACTCCATTGCGGATACAGTTGGCCCACTTAAGGGGAAATAATGCAGGCAACAGAGCACAAAGAACTGGGCAGGCTTGTGTAAGAGAGAAAGGTAAGCGTGGGTCGAGCCATAGCTCATTCAGTTAGTTGCTGGCTTCCCACTGCAGTGGCCCAGGTTTGATCCCAGGTCTGGTCAGGTGGGATATGTGGTGGAAAAAGTGGCCCTGGGGCAGGTTTTCTCCGAGTACTTTGGTTTCCCCTGCCAATCTTCATTCTACCAATTGCTCCACAATCACCCTCACCTATCATCTGGAGCTTGTACAATAGGCCAGAAGTGACCGCAGTACAAGGGACTTAGTCCCATCCCACTAGCAATAAAAAAAAATGTAAGCGTGATCCAGACAGTGTTGCAAGGGCAAGAGAAAATGTGCTAATTCTTTAGGGAAATATAATGGCAGAATGGGATGGTTCGTTCAAACACGGGTTAGAACCTCTGCAGCTCAGAGTTGAGTGTGGGAACAATTTTCAAGGCTGTCCAGCACATTCCAAGAGGATTGTATGAAATATAAACAGTGATGCTTGAGTACACATTTTTCAAAGGAACAAGCATGAGACATTAGTAATGATAGGTATTTGATTTTGCTTTTACAAGTGTCGCCTCTCCACAAACTGATTTTTCATTGCTACGAACATATTTATCTACGTAGGCGAGTCAATAATTATCTGCAATGTAGCCATAAATTTTATTTCAATACAAATAGAAAACTTACATTAACATCATTTTTCAACATAGTCCCCTTGCTTTTCAACACACTTGGTCCATCATTGCACAAGCTTCCTGCTGCCCTCAGAAAAGAAGGTTTTCGGCTGAGCAGCAAGCCACGCATGCACCGCTTCCTTCACTTCTTGGTCTGAGGTGAATTGATGGCCCCTTAATGCCTCTTTGAGTGGACCAAATAAGCGGTAGTCAGAAGGGGCGAGATCAGGACTAAACAGAGGATGAGCCATTACATCAAACTTGAGTTTCCAGAGAGTTTCAGCAGTGTGGGCAGCAGTATGTGGACGGGCATTGTCGTGCAACAACACAACACCTTTCAACAGTAGTCCTCGGCGTTTGCTTCGAATTGCAGGCTTTAGCCTGTCAGTAAGCATCTCGCTGTAACGAGCACTGTTTATTGTTGTGCCCCTCTCCTGATAATGTTCCAGTACTGGGCCTTGTGAGTCCCAAAAAACTGTAAGCATCAGTTTTCCTGCGGATGGTTGGCTTTTGAACTTTTTCTTGCTGGGCGATTGTGGATGTTTCCATTCCATACTCTGCCGTTTACTCTCCGGCTTGCAATGATGGATCCATGTTTCGTCACCAGTGATGATTCTGTCTAAGAAAATGTCACGTTCGTTACCATAGCGATCCAAATGTTGTTGGCAGATGTCCAAGCATGTTTGTTTATGCAACACTGTGAGTTGTTTTGGGACCCATCTTGCACAGACTTTATGAAACCCAAATCTGTTGTGGATGATTTCATAGACAGAACCATGACTAATTTGCAGACTATCTGCTACTTCATCACTAGTCACTCTTCTGTCTAACAGAACCATGTCACGTGCATGCTCAGTGTTGTCCTCATTTGTGGCTGTGGATGATCATCCGTCTCCTTCCTCATGCGTAACACTTGTGCAACCATTTTTGAATTTTTCAATCCATTCATAGACACTCCGTTGTGGCAAAACATTGTTCCCGTATTGTGCTGAAAGTCTTTGATGGATTGCGGCCCCTGATACACCTTCCAACCACAAAAACCGGATCACTGAATGTTACTCTTCTTTGGTGCAAACAGAGAGCGGAGCAGCCATGATTAACGGCAAGGCAGCGACGATGGAACTGACCTAGCAACATCAAACCTGTGCAGAAATAATGACAAGGAATCCACGCATGGCGATGCTGCGCAAAATGACAGTGCTGCCAACAGAAACACAAATACAACTGCATTGCGGATAATTATTGACTTCCCTTCGTATCTTTTAAATGTGTTAACAAATTTTAAATTTCAACTTCTGTAAAGATTTCATTTCTAATTCTATCCCATCTTGTTTTTCCCTGAGGACTTCTCAGAAATTTCATATCCATTTCTTGGGTTTTATTTTTGTTTCTCTTTGTAAAGGTCTCTGTCATGAAATGTTGTTTTTCACTCTTTTGGAATTTATCTGTTCCATAATATGTCTTCTGTTTTCAGGTAAATAAAGTTAATTTGATATTCCACTTCTAAGAGGAATTTTTTTGTAATTATGTTATGCTAAGGGTTTCAGAAATCTTGAAATATTCCTGGTTTTCTCAAAGCAGCTCTTCTTGTTTCATTGTATTACAGAACAACAAAATGAGACAGAACTATCTAAAGACACTTCAGAAAATCCTTTCTTATTTCATCAACCCTTTTATAAAACCCACGCCCCATTATCCTGATTATTTCATCAAGATATTCTTTGTAATTATACTTTTGCCACTATACTTAATTAATGAAGCACCATGCCATGAAGACATACAGGGGAGTAGAAGTATAGGTGCATATACAAGTATTTCTAACCTTAGCACAAAATGAAGGTGAGTTGTCAGCTTCTTTCCCCATCCACTTTGTCTCTTGGGAAAGAGCCCCCTGTACCCACTGGAAGGAAGCTAGGTGGGCCCCAGAGTTGGTCTGGATACTTCAGCATTTCAGAGAAGAGAAAAATCTCTTGCCCCTATCAAGAATCAAACCTTCATTCATAAGCCATTCAGCCAGTAGCTCACCACTACCGACCGAGCTATCGCAGCTCCCTCAGGTAGTGTTATTCAGTAAATGTCAGTACATTGACATTAGTATTATTACTTACATTTGTGTATTCCAGTTCACCCAGTATAGTGTTGGACAGTGTTCAGAAATGAAATTTTGTGCCGCAAAGCCTGAAGCAAGGACTAACGTACAACCTAAGTGTGCACTGTAGACATTTGATCTTTGTACTTGTTTCTTCATTTGTTTGGGCCACATGACACTGAATTTATTTTGCTTCTGGAGTTAGTATTTGTCATGTCATATGTCCAGCTGGTTTGGTTGGATGCTGAAAGGTGTTTCTTTTCCTCATGATGTAGTCTTTGAGTTTGAGGTACCCTCCCTCCTCTTGTATCAGGTCCCTGACCAGTGCAGATCCAAATTTCTGGTATTATAGTCTTGAACCACATGAGATGAAGAGGATAAAATCTTTCTTAATTGTAAGATTGAGAAGAGTTAAAGTAGTGTTTTCATCCCTTTCCAGGTCCATCTACTAATGGAATTAGTGTTCATCATGCAATCAGATTTGGCCACATAACCCACATGTCTCATTGTGTTGTACGAGAGCTATTCAGAAAGTAATCTAGGCAATTAATGTAGAACTGGGAGGGAGCTCACACATGTGAGGTAGCATCACATGACTCATTGCTTTGTAAACCATCACATAACTGGTTACCTAGTGTTCATTTTTTTCTCTGCAGAGTAAATAATTATGTGTGCTGTAATTGATAATCCCACTGCAATGCGAAATTTGTGCTGTTATCCCCTTTCTTCATGCTAAAAACATGAGTGCTGCAGTAACCCATTATGAAATATGCACGGCGGTTCACTGCCAAAATGTAATGAGTGCCGGAACTCTAAGAAGATGGTGTAGAATATTTAAAGATGGACAAACAAATGTTCATGATGAAGCGTGAAATAGTCATCCATCTGGAGTGAGTGATAAACTT